CCTACCCCTCCCCCGACCCAGTTTTCATTCATCCTTCGCCCCCCCCACAAAAAGCCGATCTCACTGCCTTCCAAAGCCCCCAAAAAGAGAGCTCCCCCCCCCACCGTCACATGGAGGCTCGTTTGCAGGCTGCCTCCTCGCTGGCCCCACCCTGATGTTTGAAGAGGTCTTTCTGTTCACCTGGAATTCGCATTCCTTCTGGAATCTAGGCCGTTCCCACCAGTCACTCCTTGCGCCCAAGCTGCGTCAAACGTACCCCCTCTCCCGAGACCCTCCACAAGGGTAGACCTAATTCTACCTCCCCTTCCTCTTTTCTCCTTCTCCTTCTTCTTCTAGAAAACGTCATTGCCTTCCAAGAAAAGACCCCCTCCCCTTTTCCCCCAGACCACACTCATTGGCGGTCCCTAAGGCGCGATTTTATTCACCCTGAGTTCCTCTGTGAAGAAAGCTCTTCCCGCCTCCTTGGCACTTCCCAAGGGGTGGCAGCCTCCCCAATCCCCGTCCTCTTTCCCCACCGCTCGTGGGGTTCCCTCTCCGGGAGACGCTCCGAAGGAGTGCTCCAGGTTTGCCCTTCTCGGGGCAACCCAGCAGAGGTAAGACCTCTGTTCGGTCAAACCTTTCCGATCGAGCGTCTGAGGAATCTTCTCCCCGTCTCCTGCCCGGGCTTCATACGCCGCCTGGAAAGACCGCGCCCGAACAGCGCGCGCCCGCCGCCCGCCCGCCCGCTCGCTGCAGCCGTCTAGCGGTGGGCAAAGGGATGCGGTCGCCTTGATGGGGAGGGGTCTGCTGTGCGGAAGGGATGAAGGGGCTCGTTACCGTCTCCGAAGACAGAACCTCGGGGTCGAAGCTTGATGTTCGCCCCAGCTCTCGGTCGGTGAGCCCGCCTGGAACACTCTCGCCTGATCGCTTGTCCGGATGTTGCGCTGGCGCGCGGGCTCTCCCTGCTGGGCTCTTGTGTTCAGCACCTCGGAGAGCGGCGGGGCTGGGCTGTCGCTTTTGTACCTCCAGCCAGACCCACGTGGGGGGCTCCATTGACGTCAATGTTCATTCATAAAATTTGAGCAGGATTGGAGGGGAGCCCTGCGCCTGCGCAGAGAGGAAAAAAGCCCTCCGAGTGAGTGAGAAAGTGAGTGAATGAATGGATGGATGAATGAATGAACGGAACGGGCAGGTTGGGTGAATAAAGGACCGAAGGAGGAGGAGGAAGGGGTGGAGGGGGAAGACGTGGGAGGGCGAGGGAAGAGAGTGAGGCGTGGATGAACAGAAGAGTGGGTGAGGGAAGGCGATAGTTGCGGGGTGAGGGTCGAAAGGGAGGGGGGCCTGGCGAAAAGGTGGTGGAGGTGGCACCCAGGAAACCTCTGCCTCTCCGGACCTGTCAGGGTGTCCCCAGAATTGGGCTGCTCTCTGAATTCCAGGCCACATAATTCGACTCCAGTCCCCTCTGCCTCCTTGTCAGCTCTCTACTCCGTTCGGTGTAGGGGAGCTTCCTTCAGGAGTGGGGCGGGGGGAGGGGTCGCTTGCTAGCCTCTTGTCTGTGTTCCCTGTGGTGCGCGTGCCTGAGGCCCGCGTGTTCAGAGGGCTATTCCCGGGGGGAGGGGTCCTTTCCATTCTTTCTCTGGGTATGCTCGTGCACGTGTGAACACGGCTGCTGGTGTCTTTTGTCTCCCCGCCCACGGTACGCGCCTTCTCCTTGCTGCAGGACGGCGGGGGAGGCGGGCAGGGAGCAGGCGATGCCTGCGGTGGTCTTGCTGGCCTCTCTCTGGCCGCTAGCAGCCGTTGTACGCGCCTGTCCGCCTCTCCCCAGATCCAGACCCACCCTTTCCATCCAACTGCATCTCCCTTGCTTCCGACCCCGCCCGCCCCGCGCCAGCTCCCTTCTTCTCCCTACACGGAAGCTTGTCCGCCCGGCCTCGTAGGCGCCCTTTTAAGCTCAACTCTTTCTTTGACCCGGGACTCGTTTGGATTCCTCGGCTGATCTCCATCCCTTCTGCTCACCCTGCCCACCGCCAAAGCGGGAAGGTCATCGGGGGCACTTCCGAGGGCACTTGCAGCGGTGGGGGGGGCAGGGCAGGGGCGATGAGTCACCCCTCCTTCATTCCTCCCCTCCTCCTTTCCCTCGCTCCCTCCCTCTGTGCAGTCCTTCGCTGCATTCCCCTCTCCCTCCCTCCCTCCTCCTCGGCGGGGGGGGGTGTTGGGGAGGGGAGAAGCGGCTGCCATGGCTTCTGCTCCTGTTTGTCAAAATGTCCCCACTTGTGGGGGAGGGATGAAGTTCGTAACGCACGTTCGCTCCCCTCCCAACTTGGGCCATCGCGCCCACGCTCCGCTGCCTCCTGGGCTCCCATCACTTCTGCATTTCACTGCAGCATGTATGTGGGGGTCCATCTGCCCTCTCCTCCCCCCCCGCTGCTTCGTTTGGGGGATCTTACGGAAGCCTCCAGGGTGGGTTGCGGGAAGCAGCGCCCACACCCGTAAGAGCTGGCTTCTGCTGGATCACCATGGATCCTTTTCTTTGGCTACCACCTTCTCTTGTTTTATACAACCAAACGGACTCAGGAGATTCAAGCTGTTCCCCCCTTCCAGAAGTCAGATGCGGGGACACCTGATTTGCAAGAGAAATGTTTGAACATTGACAAATCCTTAGAAGCCATCAGGATGTTACGTTCAAATATTGTTTGACTATCACTGCCTGTGGGGACCCAGGCCCTAAAGCCTGGTTGACTTCGGCGCAGGGCTGTCTGGCCTGTTTGGGCCAGGGCACATTTCTCCTGTGAAACTGGCTGGGGCTAAAGGGCGACACCACTACCCCAAAACGGAGGAAGCCAAGGAGAGTGTTTGGAGCAGGCATTTCCCCCGAGGGTGCAAAGAGGGTCCTGACCTTCCCTGCTCTGCTTTGGGAAAGGGACTCCCCTTGGCTCCAAAAGTGGGTTCCCCCAACTCAGAGGAGGCACCTGCAGAGTCACTGGGTTCCAGAAGCTGCATGATCCTCTAGCACATCTGGAAACCCCAGAAGGTCCCTCCTCACACAGCTGGCATACAATTTTCTGTCCACAGCAGCTGACTGGATGTCCCTGGAAAACCATGAGCAATCAATGATAAGTTAACATGTAAAATGAAAATAAGAAGGTGAATGACAAAGTTTAATGATTTCAAAGATGTATGGAATTTATATTTGGAGCCTGTCTTTCGAAGAGGAAGGGCTATAGGCCAGCAGAAGAACTGATGTATTTTTGGAGAGGAATGGGGTGAAAAGGGATATAAATGGATACTTCTGGCCACCTGGTCCTGAGGGTGAAGGTGGCGGCATGGGTGGGGATAGTCCAACGTGTATCGTATGCAGTTGTTATTGTATTTGTATTTTAGTTCTAATTGAATAAACAAGCAAAAAGGATAACCATGAGCAGAGTTGAAGGGCAGCTCTCTCTCCTTCCATTTTCCATTGCAGTTCAGACTCTTCAGATCATCAGATCAACAAGGCTGAAGTTGCCAGACAGGTGGACTCCCCACCCAGAAAACTCCCCTTCCCATGGCATTACTTCCTGCCTCCTCCTTTGTGCACAACAGCAACAGAGAAGGCAGTCACTCTGAAGGCCCAGGCCAGCTCCCGTTGTGCCACAGGGCCGAGGAAAGCCAGGGAGGTCCTCCGTTTATACAGTCTTGACAAGAGCTAGAAACTGGGCCCTACACCCACCTAACCCTTCACCCTTCCCCTCCAACCATCTCTGCTGTCTCCTTTCCACTCCGTGCAGCTTCCACGGAGGACCACACCTTCAAGGGCCAAGGTAGAGACAGTGGCCAAGAACCGAGCCAAGTCCCCTGCTTTGAATCAGGCCCTTGGCCCCTCTAGCCTCTGAGTGGCAGCAGGTGGACGGCAGGGTCTTTTCCCAGCCCTCCTTGGGAGATCCATATGGCTCTCCGAGGAGGATCTCCAGTCCAAGGCCATGGCCAGGCTGCCCCCTATTCTCTTCTGGCAGGATAGAGGCACTTTATGGTGTCACTCCAAGGAGGGATTCCTTCAGGGTGAGAGGAGGTCTTGAGAGAATCTCCCGTGAAGGAGATGAAGATGTGGTGCTGGTGGTGGTTGGCCAAGAAAGAGGACTCTGAACATGGGCTTGTGTTTTACTGAGGAAAAATGTGGTGTTGGTCTACATGCTTAGAGCTCATAATCTCAGACTTGAGATTCCCTAAGGGAGCTATATAGCAAGATTCAAGCTTAAACTGAAGAAAGTAGGAAAAAACCATTGGGCTAGTCAGGTGTAATCTAAACCAAATCCCTTATGAATACACAGTGGAAGTGAAGAACAGATTTAAGGAACTAGATTTGGTGGACAGAGTGCCTGAAGAACTATGGATGGAGCCTCGTAACATTGTACAGGAGGCAGCAACATAAACCATCCCAAAGAAAAGGAAATGCAAGAAATCAAAGTGGCTGTCCAACAAGGCCTTACAAATAGCAGAGAAGAGAAGGGAAACAAAATGCAAGGGAGATGGGGAAAGTTACAGAAAATGGAACGCAGGCTTTCAAAGAACAGCAAGGAGAGACAAGAGGGCCTTCTTTAATGAAGAGTGCAAAGATATAGAGGAAAAAATAGAAATGAAAAAACCAGAGATCTGTTCAAGAAAAACGGAGATGGCAGAGAAGAGAAGGGAAACAAAATGCAAGGGAGATGGGGAAAGTTACAGAAAATGGAACGCAGGCTTTCAAAGAACAGCAAGGAGAGACAAGAGGGCCTTCTTTAATGAAGAGTGCAAAGATATAGAGGAAAAAATAGAAATGAAAAAACCAGAGATCTGTTCAAGAAAAACGGAGATGTTAAAGGAACATTTTGTGCAAAGATGGACATGATAAAGGACAAAAATGGGAGGAACCTAACAGAAGCAGAAGACATCAAGAGGAGGTGGCAAGAATACACAGAAGAATTACGCCAGAAAGATCTGGATGTCCCAGACAACCCAGAAAGTGTGGTCGCTGACCTTGAGCCAGACATACTGGAGAGTGAAGTCAAGTGGTCCTTAGAAAGCATGGCCAACAACAAGCAGTATGTGGACAGAGAATTCCCAGAAGTACAAGCTGGATTCTGAAGGGGCAGAGCAACTAGAGACCAAATTGCTAACATGCACTGGATTATGGAGAAAACCAGAGAGTTCCAGAAAAAGATCTACTTCTGCTTCATTGACTATGCAAAAAACATTTGACTGTGTGGACCACAGCAAACTATGGCAAGTCCTTAAAGAAATGGGAGTGCCTGACCACCTTATTTACCTCCTGAGAAATCTATATGTGGGGCAGGAAGCAACAGTTAGAACTGGATATGGAAGAACTGATAGGTTCAAAATTGGGAAAGGAGTAGGACAAGACTGTATATTGTCCCCCTGCTTATTTTATCATGTGAAAGCCTGGACTGGACAAATCCCAAGCCAGAATTAAGATTGCTGGAAGAAATCTCAACCACCTCAGATATGCAAATGATACCACTCTGATTGCAGAAGGTGAGGAGGAATTAAAGAACCTCTTAATGCGGGTGAAAGAGGAGAGTGCAAAAAACGGTCTGAAGCTCACCATCAAAAAAACTCAGATCATGGCCACTGGTCCCATCACCTCCTGGGAAATAGAAGGGGAAGATATGGAGGCAGTGACAGATTTTACTTTCTTGGGCTCCATGATCACTGCAGATGGAGACAGCAGCCCCTAAATCAAAAGGTGCCTGTTTCTTGGGAGGAAAGTGATGACAATCCTCGACAGCATCTTAAAAATGAGCATCGTGGCGCAGTGGTTAAAAGGCTGTATTGCAGCTAAAACTGTGCTCACGACCTGGGGTTCAAATCCCAGGTAGCCGGCTCAAGGTTGATTCAGCCTTCCATCCTTCCGAGGTCGGTAAAATGAGTACCCAGCTTGCTGGGGGGGCAATGTGTAGCCTGTATAATTAAAATTGTAAACCGCCCGGAGAGTGCTTGTAGCGCTATGGGGCGGTATATAAGTCCAATAAATAAATAAATAAAATAAATAAAAGCAGAGACATCACCTTGCCGACAAA